ACTGTGTTCTGTTTGACTTTCAGCTACTTGAACTGAGACCCCGGGGCCGAGGGAGACCTCGAGGACAGCACGGAACGGACCCTCCAGGCCCTCAGGTCTCGGCAGCAGCTCAGGAGGGGAAGCAGGCGAGGACCCTCCCGTGCAGACCCTGCCGGGCGCCCAGGAGGCTGCGCAGCCACACAGGCGGGGACTCTGGACTCTCCCTGCCCAGGCAGTGCCGCGGGGCCTCCTGCGCCCTGGGAGCTCCTCTGCCTCTGCTGCTTGCTTCTGGCGCAGCACTTTCTCGTTCCTGCTGCCTCTTTATTCATCTGAAAGGCACACAGACAGACACACAGACAGACGTCTGCCGTCCGCTGACTCCCTGCCCACATCCAGGGCTGGGCCCGGCCTAACCAGGAAGCAGCAATGAATGCAGCCTCCGTGTGGGGGCAGGAGCCCAGGGCTGCGCCGTCACCCACGCAGAGTGGCCGGAGCGGATTGGAAGCTGAGCTGGGACTCGGACGGCTCTGACACGGGGTGCAGTGAGGATTTTTTTGTATCAATATTTATTTTATTTTTTTGAAAGACAGAGTTACAGAGAGAGATGGAGACAGAGAGAGAGGTCTTCCATCTGCTGGTTCACTCCCCAGAAGTCCAAAATGGCCAGAGTTGGGTCAATCCGAGCTAGGAGCCAGGAGCGTCTTCCAGGTCTCCCACACGGGTGCAGTGACCCAAGCACTTGCGCCGTCCTACACTGCTTTCGCAGGCCGTAGCAGAGAGCTGGATCTGAAGAGGAGCAGCTGGGATTGGAGCAAGACAATAAGGGATGCCAGCGCTTCAGGCCAGGGCTTTATTCCCCTGCACAACAACACCAGGCCCCCCAGTGCAGTCTTAACAGCTGTGCCACAGCTGACCCTTTGACTCACTGAATTTCCAACCCCCTCCTTGCTGGCCTCAGTTTCTATACTCGCCACAGGGCCAGATCCTTGTAGCAGGTGCAGTGCTGGTCCTGCTAGCGGGTCTGGGGAGCAGCTGGCTATGTGGCGGGTGCCCAGGTGCTGGTTAGAGGAGGGAGAGGAAGAGAGGGCAGTGGGGTGTGAGGGAGGACAGGAGCCTCGGGGGCAGGGGGAGGCACAGAGGCTCGGGAACTCCAGGACTCAGAGGACAATGAGACCAGCGCGAGACAGCAGCAGTGTGGGGAGCGAGTTTATTGAAGGACCCTGAGGGACAGCTCGTGTTCAACAGACAGCATCAGAGAGCACAGGTCCCCACTGGGCCAAAGGGTGCCCTAGACCTGGCCTGTTGAGTGGTCAAGGAGACTTCTGTCTCAAGAGTGTCTCAGCCTGGGGTGTAGGAAGTAACATCTGCCACAGGCCCAGGACTTCCCTGGGTGTCGGGGTACAGGGGGAACCATAGAGAGGCTGCCTTCAGGGTGGGGCCCTGAGAGGCCGTGGAGTTGATGAGAGGCATCGCTCACTGAGAACAGGAGAGGCCGCGAGTCCAAGGTGAGAGCCCTGGACGCACCTCGGTCGGGAGACTCTGCTGCCCTCAGCTGGGGCCTGAAGACCCAGGGGGAGGGGTCAAGGGTTGGGGACGCAGCTCCTGTCACTGTGTGGGGAGTGAGGTCGCAGGGCTGATCTGAGCTCAGTGCCAGCTCCTCCCATCTGCCCTGGAGCCACAGGGCTCCGACCACGGCACTGGGGGCAGCAGGGCTGGCGGCAGCCGGACTAGGAGCAGCCACAGCTGGAGCAGGAGCAGGCGGGCACACAGCAGCACACGGGCTTGCAGCAGCACACGGGCACACAGCAGCTGGAGCCACAGCTGCCCTGGCTGCCCCCACAGGAGCCACAGCTGCCCTGGCTGCCCCCACAGGAGCCACAGCCCCCACAGGAGCCACAGCTGGAGGAGCAGGCGGGCACACAGCAGCACACGGGCTTGCAGCAGCACACGGGCACACAGCAGCTGGACTGGGAGCAGCAGGGTTTGCAACAGCTGGACTGGCCACAGCTGGACTGGGAGCAGCAGGGTTTGCAACAGCTGGACTTGCAGCAGCTGGACTGGGAGCAGCAGGGTTTGCAGCAGCTGGACTGGGAGCAGCAGGGTTTGCAACAGCTAGACTGGGAGCAGCAGGGTTTGCAGCAGCTGGACTGGCAGCAGGCACTGGAGCCACAGCTGGAGGAGCAGGCGGGCACACAGCAGCACACGGGCTTGCAGCAGCACACGGGCACACAGCAGCTGGAGCCGCAGCCCCCACAGCTGGAGCCGCAGCCCCCGGAACAGCCAGAGCAGCCCATGGTTCTGGAGGTGGAGGGGAGTGGTCGCAGGAGCAGGTGCAGAGGGAGGTGTCTGTGTGGTGCCTCCCCCTGCTGGGCCCTTTATAAGCCTGCCCCTTGCTCCTGAGAGGCACAGGCCACCTTCCTGGTGTCTATTTTTGTATGTTCCCCAGGGAATTGCGTGTCATTTAAAATAACAAAAACACTGCCTGACCTGTGACATTCTTCCTATTAAACATTGTTTCCCTCCCTAAGGCGTCATGGTGCAGCGCCCTCCAGCTGTGGGTTCCCGGTGATCGCCTAGCCTTGAGGTTTCTGGCTGAGTCTAGAGGTTTCCCCTCTGCCTGGGACTCTAATGCAGGGACCAGTGTTTCCTCCTTGCTATGCCCTGAGAATGCTGCCTTGTGGGTGGGGCCAATGGTGCAGGGTTGACCCCGCCCAGGACTCCCTGTCTCAGTTCTCTGCTTTCACTTGGCAAAGCGCTTAAGATGGCCCACGTGTCTGGGCCTCTGGCACCCACATGGGAGACCCTGAAGAAGCTCCTGGCTCCTGACTTCGGAAACTCGCAACTCTAGCTGTTGCAGGCCACTGGGGAGTGCACCAGCGGGTGGAGACTTCTCCTTATTTCTCTCTGTCTCTCTTTATCTACCTCTCTCTCTGTTACTCTGTCTTCACCTAAATAAAATAAATCGTGAAAAAACAAGGTGTCTGTGTGATCTCTGTTTCTCATGCGTGAGAGGTTCCCTTCCCTCTGATCAGACCTGGCCGCAGCCTGCTTCAAGTGCTCAGGATGAACTACGGACTCCGAACCGCGTCTCCCACTTTGAGGTTCCCCGTCGGATCCCAGGAACTCTCAAAGGACGAGACTTTGAATTTGCTACACCACAGCTGTCTGAGTGGATTCAGGTTACGGAGCGTGCATTTCAAGGCTTGACCCATGTGGGAGCTGTGCTGTGTTCAGGCTGCTGTCCAGACAGAGTGGGCTTACAGGGATGAGAGCAAGCTCTGTGTGTGCAGCCTTTGTGGTGCTGACACAGGAAGCCCGGCAAGCAGCTTCCCGAGTGGGTGAGTCCTGCCGCCCGTGGGTCCGCTGGGTTCGCTCGGTTCGCCTGTGTCCTTGGTGATGTGTCCAAACGTGTTTCCTTCAAGCATGAAGATCTTTCCAAAGCTGCCAACACGCACTAGTGTCTGTGTGTGCTGTCCAGGTGGGTTTGTCCTTGGCCGTTACTTGGAACATGGAGGTGTCATTTTGACCTTAAGATCATCCAGATGACGGCGTGGTACTCATGCGTATCTCAGGGTCTTACGTCATCCAGCGTCGTTGCTAAGTACACCTGCGCAAAGGGAACGTGTGTGCCCTTAGCACCTTCACTGCTGTAAGGACGACTATTGGGCTCCTGAACGTGTGTGCTCACAGGCTGTGCAACCATGGCAACTCAAGACGACGTGACAGGAGCGAGGGTTTACCTTTCACTTTCTTTTTTTAAAGATTTATTTTATTTATTTGAAAGACAGAGTTACAGAGAGAGGCAGAAACAGAAAATGAGAGAGAGAGAGAGAGAGAGAGAGAGAGAGAGAGAGGTCTCCATCCACTGGTTCACTCCCCAGTAGGCTGCAACAGCCTGAGCTGCGCTAATCCGAAGCCAGGAGCCAGGAGCATCTTCCGGGTTTCCCTGGCGGGTGCAGGGGCACAAGGACATGGGCCATCTTCTACTGGTTTCTCAGCCATAGCAGAGAGCTGGATTGGAAGAAGAGCAGCCGGGACTCGAACCAGTGGCCATGTGGGATGCCAGCACTTGGGGCCAGGGCGTTAACCCCTGCGCCTCAATGCAGGCCCTGAGTTTAACTTTAGAAAGGTGTGAGCAAATCACACTAAGTGTGAGAGTAATCAATCCTAGAAGGAAAGTTACGATTTTCAATATTGTTTGCAGAGTTCTCTGAAGGTTGAGTGTTAATGCAAAGTTACACTGACCCAAGATCGAAGTTGATGTTCTGTTACTACCATGAGGATTTTGAAAGTGTGTATTAACATGTTATTAACCACCTGGAAATGGTCTCCATCAGAAATGGTAAAATCCCTCTTTACACAAACTGCAACATCTCCTTGTAACAGTTTCAGCGTAACTGGATGTCCGCGCCGTCCCTGGAGTCGGGTCCTGTGTGCTCTCTGACTCTGGGAGGTTGGTCCACGTGGCGGTCTCAGCACACACAGCACGGGCAGCGCCCTGAGACCCGCAGCTCCTTGTGTAGGCGGTGGAAGCGGCGGGCACAACGGGGAGAGGAGCAGAGAGGCTGGGGCATCAGAGCAAGGACTTCTGCAGGGACTCGGACCTCCAAAGCCAAAGACACGGAGAGAGTGAGGACGTAGAGGCCAGAGTTGTCCCCATGCCCACCTCCAGAGCTGAGTCTGGGGAGTACTGGGTGGGGCCCACGCCCACCTCTGGCCCCGCCCACCAGGGCAGGACTCTTACGGTATGGCAAGGAGGAAACACTGGTCCCTGCATTAGAGCACCAGGGAGGGGGGAACCTCTGGACTCACCAAGAAACCTCAAGGCTGGGCTCTCACCGGGACCCCACAGCTGGGAGGGGATGCACCATGACAACTTAGGGAGGGAAACAATGTTTAATAGGAAGAATGTCACGGGACAGGCAGTGTTTCTATTATTTTAAATGACACGCAATTCCCTGGGGAACATACAAAAATAGACACCAGGAAGGTGGCCTGTGCCTCTCAGGAGCAAGGGGCAGGCATATAAAGGGCCCAGCAGGGGGAGGCGCCACACAGACACCTCCCTCTGCACCTGCTCCTGCGACCACTCCCCTCCACCTCCAGAACCATGGGCTGCTCTGGCTGTTCCGGGGGCTGCGGCTCCAGCTGTGGGGGCTGCGGCTCCAGCTGCTGTGTGCCCGTGTGCTGCTGCAAGCCCGTGTGCTGCTGTGTGCCCGCCTGCTCCTCCAGCTGTGGCTCCAGTGCCTGCTGCCAGTCCAGCTGTTGCAAACCCTGCTGCTCCCAGTCCAGCTGTTGCCAGTCCAGCTGTTGCAAACCCTGCTGCTCCCAGTCCAGCTGTGGCCAGTCCAGCTGCTGCAAACCCTGCTGCTCCCAGTCCAGCTGTGGCCAGTCCAGCTGTTGCAAACCCTGCTGCTCCCAGTCCAGCTGCTGTGTGCCCGTGTGCTGCTGCAAGCCCGTGTGCTGCTGTGTGCCCGCCTGCTCCTCCAGCTGTGGCTCCTGTGGGGGCTGTGGCTCCTGTGGGGGCAGCCAGGCCAGCTGTGGCTCCTGTGGGGGCAGCCAGGGCAGCTGTGGCTCCAGCTGCTGTGTGCCCGTGTGCTGCTGCAAGCCCGTGTGCTGCTGTGTGCCCGCCTGCTCCTGCTCCAGCTGTGGCTGCTCCTAGTCCGGCTTCTGCCAGCCCTGCTGCCCCCAGTGCCGTGGTCGGAGCCCCGTGGCTCCAGTGCAGATGGGAGCAGCTGGCACTGAGCTCAGATCAGCCCTGCGACCTCACTCCCCACACAGTGACAAGAGCTGCGTCCCCACCCCTGAGCCCCTCCCCCCGGGTCTTCAGTTCCCAGCTGAGGGCAGCAGAGTCTCCCAACCGAGAGGCATCCAGGACTCTCACCGTGGACTCGTGGCCTGTCCTGTTCTCAGTGAGCGATGCCTCTCATCAACTCCACGGCATCCCAGGGCCCCACCTTGCAGCCTCCCTGTGGTTACCCTGCACCCCGACACCCAAGCAGATCGATGGCTGGAAGATGGTGCCTCCCACACCCCAGGCTGGGACACTCTTGAGACAGAAGTCTCCTTGACCACTCAACAGGCCAGGTCTAGGGCACCCTCTTGGCCCAGTGGGGACCTGTGCTCTCTGATGCTGTCTGTTGAACACGAACTGTCCCTCAGGGTCCTTCAATAAACTCGCTCCCCACACTGCTGCTGTCACGCGCTGGTCTCATTGTCCTCTGAGTCCTGGAGTCCCCGAGCCTCTGTGCCTCCCCCTGCCCCCGAGGCTCCTGTCCTCCCTCACCCCCCACTGTCCTCTCTTCCTCTCCCTCCTCTAACCAGCACCTGGGCACCCGCCACATAGCCAGCTGCTCCCCAGACCCGCTAGCAGGACCAGCACTGCACCTGCTACAAGGATCTGGCCCTGTGGAGAGTATAGAAACTGAGGCCAGCAAGGAGGGGGTTGGAAATTCAGTGAGTCAAAGGGTCGGCTGTGCCACAGCTGTTAAGACTGCACTGGGGGGCCGGTGCTGTGGTGCAGGGGATAAAATCCCTGGCCTGAAGTGCCGGCTTCCCATATTGGTGCCGGTCCTCCCCCAGCTGCTCCTCTTCTGATCCAGCTCTCTGCTGTGGCGTGGTAAAGCAGTGGAGGATGACCCAAGTCCTTGGGCCCCTGTACCCATGTGCAAGTCCTGGAAGAAGCTCCTGGCTCCTGGCTTCGGATCGGTGCAGCTCTGGCCGCTGCGGCCACCTGGGAGTGAACCAGCAGATGGAAGACCTCTCTCTCTGTTTCCACCTCTCTCTGTAACTCTGTCTTTCAATGAAATAAAATAAATCTTGAGACAAAAAAATCCTCACTGTGGACCCTGCACCCCGTGTCAGAGCCGTCCGAGTGCCAGCTCAGCTTCCAATCCGCTCCGGCCACTCTGCGTGGGTGACGGCGCAGCCCTGGGCTCCTGCCCCCACACGGAGGCTGGATTCATTGCTGCTTCCTGGTTAGGCCGGGCCCAGCCCTGGATGTGGGCAGGGAGTCAGCGGACGGCAGACGTCTGTCTGTCTGTGTGTCTGTCTGTGTGCCTTTCAGATGAATAAAGAGGCAGCAGGAACGAGAAAGTGCCTGCGCCAGAAGCAAGCAGCAGAGGCAGAGGAGCTCCCAGGGCGCAGGAGGCCCCGCGGCACTGCCTGGCCAGGGAGAGTCCAGAGTCCCCGCCTGTGTGGCTGCGCAGCCTCCTGGGCGCCCGGCAGGGTCTGCACGGGAGGTCCTCGCCTGCTTCCCCTCCTGAGCTGCTGCCTAGACCTGAGGGCCTGGAGGGTCCGTTCTGTGCTGTCCTCGAGGTCTCCCTCGGCCCCGGGGTCGCAGTTCAAGTAGCTGAAAGTCAAACAGAACACAGTTCATGGGTGCAGGACCGGGGTCCAGGGGTGCTCTATCCATCCTCACACAGCCTGGGGTCCCGGCAGCCACAGGAGCACAGGGGGACAAGCGCTGTCGGACTAGGAGCACCCGCCGGGTGCTGTCACCCAGGCCAGCGCCTGGTCTGGACCCAGGATCTCCTGCTGTGTGCCGGGTCTGTACCACATCCTGACCCCGGGTGGCTCTGCTGAGAGAAATGTGTCATCTCCCCGTGCAGGAGGGGACGGGCCTGCGGTCAGGGGGCAGAAGGCCTGCTCACCGGATCGGGGACCACGCCTGTCACACCATTGCCAGCTCCTGCTTCTACTCACCCTGCCTCCTCCTCTCCTGTGTGAGGTGTCCTCAACTCTCTGAGAAGGACACTGAGTGACATGACGGCCACCAGGTTACCCAGGTAACCACATCTCAACCTTTAAACCTGGGACCGGCCTGTGGCTTAGGGGACACTGCCACCACCCACAAGGCTGGCACCCACGTGGCGATGGTTCCAGTCCAGGCTGCTCAGTTCCTGTCCAGCTCCCTGCTCATGTGCCTGGGAATCACACTGGAAGATGCCCAAGTCCATGGGCCCCCATCGGCCACACAGCAGGCCCCGATGAGGGTCCAGGCCCTGCCTTCTGCCTGGCCCAGCCCTGTGCACTGGGGCCATCTGGAGTTGAACCGGCAGAAGGCAGATCTCTCTCTCGGAGCCTCTCTCTGTAACTCTGACTTTCACAATAAATACATCATTTATTTAAAAAAAACTATATCACTGTGTTTCTTAAGATTCTCTCACTGTAAGTTAACATTCTCCCCTTTGCACTACAGCATTGTTCACAGACACTGGGGGTTCCACGTGGACCCGGGTTCTGGCGGGGTCACCTGGGCTGCTCCCACCCCCGGAACGCCCACTTCTGTCCCACAGGCAAAACCCTTCACCCCACCCCCAGCACCGTCCCCTGTCAGCCATGGCAGCCCCGATTCTGACCTCACCCCGCACCTGCCCCAGGCCGTGGTCTAAATCCTCTGCCCTCGCCCAGGTGGGACTCTGGACGTCACCGCCTGGAGCTGTCCCTCCCCCGTGAGTCTGGAACCAGAAGCTGAGTTCCTGCGTGCCAGCACACGGTGGGAGGGCGCAAGGGCGTCCTCCCTGGGGAGAGCTCGGGGAGCCAGGGGGCAGCCAGGCCTCGAGGGCTCCACGCAGCCGGGCGCTCCCGCAGCCACACCCGGGGGCCTCAGAGGCCCTGGGCCCAGCTCGGCGCCATCTCTCCCTCCTGCCCTGAAGCTGGCGGCCACGGCTGCGGGGTCTGGGCCGGGGCCTGCCTGTAGCGTCTCCCAGGCCATCCTGTCTCTGGTCCTCCCGTCCAAGCCACGGGGGTGCCCTGATGGTCTGACCAGGGTACCCGGGCTCTAATAACGGCCTTTCTGTCCCGGTCTCCTGGCCAAGCCTGTCGCGTCCACGTCTGCACCGACCCTGCCTTGAGGCCACGTGGGCTTTTTCTGTAAAGACCTCCCAGGCCTCCAGCCTCGCCGTCTGCCTCCGTGCGAGGCCACGGCCACGAGTTGCAGGAGCTTTGCTCAGGGACCCACGCAGGGGAGTTGGAAGCTGCCCCTCCTCCGGCTGCCTTGGCCATGACCGCGGCGTGGTGGCGGGTGTCCCGGAAGTGCACGGCTGAGTCCTGCATCCCGGGCATCTCCAGCCGGGGCAGCCGCGCCGCCCTCCTCGGAGCTGCAGGGCAGAGCTGGTGCTTCGCCTCCGTCCACTGCGGTGGCCCCGCTCTGCAGCGCCCTGGCCGAGGCCCTCCTGCGGCTCTGCCCGTGCCTCTGCCCCTTCTCAGGACTCCCGGGATGCCCCGTGTGGTCCCCTGGCCACCCTCCCCTCCCGCTGCTGTGGGCGGGCGCCTTGCCCAGAACAAGCTCACACACAGGGCTCAGCCTGGCCCGGCCCCGCAGCTGAGCCAGGACTGGGAGTGGGCGGTGCTCGGGGCCACCGCCAGCCCTCCCAGCGCCCACGGCTACACGGGCAGTCTTCGTTCCGCAGCCTCGGTGGCGCCGTGATGCACCTGCCCACGTGGTCTGCTCGCTGCTCCCAGAATCCCTCACGCATACACACAGAGGCTCTTCATGCCGTTTCCATGAAAGCGTTTTGTGTGCGTGGTGTGCACCTGATGGAGTATGTGACGGTGTGTGCACTTGGCTGTGTATATGATATGTATGCCTGTGCGTGAAGGGTAGTCATGTACGTGTGTGGAGTGGGTGTGGCGTGTGCACCGTGTGCATGTGTATGGCGTGCGCACTCTCGCATGTGGAGTGTGTGAGGATGTAACGTGGAGACTGTGTGTGAGCTCTGTGTGTCTCTGTACAGCGCATGTGCCAATACTGTGTGTCGTGTGTGCAGTGTGTGCTCCATGTGTGTGTGGCATGTATGCTGTGTGATGTACTGTGTACTGACGGATGCACACAGGAAGGGCATAGCGTGTGTACAGTGTGTGTATGATGTGTGTGTGCCTTGTGTGTATAGTGTGTGTATGACGTGTGTGTGCTGTGTGTATACTGTGTGCATACAGTGTGTGTATCATGTGTGTGCACCAGGTGTCTCCCCTATTTCCCTTGTTCCCATAGAGAACTGGAAAATCCTCCACCTTATGCTATTTTTCCCTTTTTCAAATATTTATTTTAATTTTTAAAGACAGAGTTACAGAGACAGGTACACAGAGAGAGAGAGAGAGAGAGAGAAAGAGAAAGAAGTCTTCCATCCACTGGTTCACTCCCCAGATGGCCACAATGGCCAAAACTGTGCCAATCCGAAGCCAGCAACCAGGAGATTTTCCAGGTCTCCAATGCAGGTGCAGGGGCCCAAGGACTTCGGCCATTTCACACTGTTTCCCAGGCCATCGGAAGGGAGCTGGATTGGAAGAGGAGAAGGGAACCGGTGCCATATCAGATGCTGGCGCTTCAGACCAGGGCTTTAACCCACGTGCCACAAAGCTGGCCCCAACCTGCTGTTATATGTTCTCAGTGCCGTCGGCAGATGATCTAATGGCCTACCCAAGGCCTCCATGATGTAGGGCCGTGTCACCTCCACCCACACGGAGCTCCCAGGCAGCTTTCTCAACCCTTAGCGCATCTCTCCCTTGTGAGGTGCCCAGCATCTCCCGTGGCCACGACCACACGGTGCGCACGTCCCTGCATCATGTCCTGCTCCTCACCATCACTGACGCTTCCCTGCTCCAAGCTCGCAGGCCTCCGGGCTGCATCTGGCACCTCCCTCTGCTCAGCCCAAGCCCCGGGCTCAGCACCCAGGGAGCGTCTCAGTTCCCAGGAGGAGCCGCTGCCCGCTCCCTGCCTCTCCAGCCCCGCCCCCGCCCTGGCCCTGCTCCTGTGTCCCTCTGTGACCTGGGTGTGCAGGATCCCCCAGGCCTGAGATCCCCGAGGCAGAGAGTGTGGGTCCAGCTGGCCTAGCCCCCAACAGCTGGCCGTGTGGCAGAAGTCCAGGTGCTGGTGCAGGCGCTGATGGTCAGAGGAGGCACTGGGGTGAGCGAGGACAGGAGCCTCGGGGGCAGAGGGAGGCACAGAGGCTCGGGGACTCCAGGACTCAGAGGACAATGAGACCAGCGCGAGACAGCAGCAGTGTGGGGAGCGAGTTTATTGAAGGACCCTGGGGGACAGCTCGTGTTCAACAGACAGCATCAGAGAGCACAGGTCCCTACTGGGCAAGGGGCTGCCCTAGACCTGGCCTGTTCCTGTTCCAAGGTGACTTCAGGCTACAGAAGTATCCCAGGCTGGGGCAGCACTGACTGCCACAGGCCCAGGACTTCCCTGGTTTCGGGGTGCATGGGGAACCACAGGGAGGCTGCCTTCAGGGTGGGGCCCTGAGAGGCCATGGAGTTGATGAGAGGCATCGCTCACTGAGAACAGGAGAGGCCGCGAGTCCACGCTGAGAGCCCTGGATGCCCCTCGGTCGGGAGACTCTGCTGCCCTCAGCTGGGGCCTGAAGACCCGAGGGAGGGGCTCAGGGGTGGGGACACAGTTCCTGTCACTGTGTGGGGAGTGAGGTCGCAGGGCTGATCTGAGCTCAGTGCCAGCTCCTCCCATCTGCCCTGGAGCCACGGGGCTCCTACCACAGCACTGGGGGCAGCAGGGCTGGTGGAAGCCGGACTAGGAGCAGCCACAGCTGGAGCAGGAGCAGGCGGGCACACAGCAGCACACGGGCTTGCAGCAGCACACGGGCACACAGCAGCTGGAGCCACAGCTGCCCTGGCTGCCCCCACAGGAGCCACAGCTGCCCTGGCTGCCCCCACAGGAGCCACAGCCCCCACAGGAGCCACAGCTGGAGGAGCAGGCGGGCACACAGCAGCACACGGGCTTGCAGCAGCACACGGGCACACAGCAGCTGGACTGGGAGCAGCAGGGTTTGCAACAGCTGGACTGGCAACAGCAGGGTTTGCAACAGCTGGACTGGGAGCAGCAGGGTTTGCAGCAGCTGGACTGGCAACAGCTGGACTGGCAGCAGCAGGGTTTGCAACAGCTGGACTGGCAGCAGGCACTGGAGCCACAGCTGGAGGAGCAGGCGGGCACACAGCAGCACACGGGCTTGCAGCAGCACACGGGCACACAGCAGCTGGAGCCGCAGCCCCCACAGCTGGAGCCGCAGCCCCCGGAACAGCCAGAGCAGCCCATGGTTCTGGAGGTGAGTGCAGGTGGAGGAGGAGTGGTCGGAGGAGCAGGTGAGGAGGGAGGGGTCTGTGGAGGCTGCTTTCCCAGAGCTTTTATTTCCCAGCCGGCACCTGGCCCTGGCATCTGCCACTTCCTCGTGTGTGTTTACGTCACGTTCTTGGCACGTTCTGTGTGTCCTCTACTGAAAAATAGAGGCTATGCCTGTAGCATGATTGCCCCTCTGCTGTGGTCTCTGCTCCCTGGACAGGTGCAGCGTCGGCTGCTGTTCAGCCAGGGCCGGCTCGGTGCTAACTCCCGAGTGCTCTCTCCGTCTGCCTGCCTGTCTGTCTGCTCTGTGCTCGGCTGCTATGGGGACATTCTTGTGAGTCTGGGAGGTGTTGGGGTGTCTCGTGGACCCAGCTCCCCAATCCTAGCCCCCTGCAGGCCCTCTGCCATGTTCCCTGGCTCCCTGCTCCCCCTCCCCTGCACCTGCGTCCTGCCAGGAACAGTCAGTGAGCACAGCCGCAGAACGCGCTGGCCCAAGCCGCCACCGCTGCCGCCCCCACCCCAGCCCTGCCCTGCCCTGCCTGTACTTCAGCGGCACAGCCGCGAGTCCCTCTCAGCTCTCCCCTTCTATCAGCCATCGTGTGGAGAGAGATGGCTCTCTGCCCTCGCCCCCTCTGGGATCCGGGCATCACCAGGGGAGGCCCTGGGTTTGCTTATCCCGCCTGCCAACCCCCAACCGCTCACCCCCCAGCACAGTCGCTGGAGCTCCTCCTGACCCACCTCGTAGCCGGCCCCAGTGTCAGTCCCCGCTCGGGCAGGTGCCCCTCACCCGCTTCTCCCTTGGAGAGCTCCCTGTGGGTCCTCCGCCCACTCCTCCAGTCTGTGCCCCACAGATCCACGGAGCCCTGTCCACGTCCACAGCGGTCAGCGGGTCGCCCTGCTGTGTTTTGCGGATCCCTTGTCTGTGGGGAACGCATCCTTAGTGACTTCCTGAGGGAGGGGCCGGCGGGTGCCCCCTTTAGACATCGGGTAGAGTAGAGCATCTCAGTGCCCACGGAACCTGAAGACCCTCCCCTGGGCCGTGGCTCTGCGCTGGGCGGGTTTCCCAGACCGGATGATCCTTCTGCTTTCTTCCGGCTGTTGGCACCGCCGACCCCGAGCAAGCCGATGCCCGCGCACGGCTGTTCTTGCACACGGCCTTTGCCTTTCTCTCTGGAAGCTTCTAGGGTTCTCTCGTGGACACACGAATCTGTGATGTGACCCAGTGCGCCCTGGCTCACGGGGCCTGGGTCTGTGTTTTCCTTGCTGTTTGCTGCTGGCCGGTGGCGTGGAACACGGAGGTGACCACCAGGAGCCCGGCCCGAGCGATCTCACCCTCCCCTGCCGCCTCCCCTTCAGCCCGGGTCTCAGGAGGACCAGCGGGGCTAAGCCTCCCCCGCTCTCCCCCATCTCGCGGCCAAGCGCTGCCCTCCTCCCAGTGGCGGGATTCTCTCCCCCTGCTGAAGCTTCAGTCTCCCAGTCTTATTTTAAATTCACAGGGTCTTGAGGCCATCACCGAGGCCAGCCTCCGGGCAAAGGGATCCTGGGACCCTCAGGCCGCCCCCACCCATGGGCCGACCCCATCCCCCTCAGCCTTCCCCAGCCCCTCTCGGCCTGCCCCACCCCACCTCAGCTGCCCCACCCCACAGGCCGTCCCCATCCCCCGCCAGCCCAGGGTCCTCTCTGACCCAACGTCCACATCACAGGGACGTCGCCCTGGACACCTCACTGGAACTTTAGCCTGAGAGACGCTGAGAGCTCAGAATTCACGTACACCCGGGGAGGGGCCAGCCTGAGGCGCAGGGTGCAGAGAGGCCACCCGGGAAAACTGGTCCAGGTCAGAGTGCCAGAGACGGAGCCCCACCCCGTCCCACCCACTCCCTGCTCATGGCCCTGGGAAGCAGCCTTGGGGCCCTGCCTCCCACACGGCAAACCCTGAGGGAGTTCTGAGTCCTGCATTTGCCTGGCCTAGGCCTGGTGTTGAGGCCACCTGGGGAGTGAACCAGCAGGTGGAAGACTGATGGGTCTCTCTCCCTCCCTCCACTCTCTCTTTCAAATGAAGGAATCCTTTTTTAAAAAAAATGTAAAACCTAGGGGCTGTGCACTCACCAGGACCCCACAGCTGGGAGGGGCTGCACCATGATGCCTTAGGGAGGGAAACAATGTTTAATAGGAAGAATGACACAAGGTAACGCAGTGTTTTTGTTAGTTTAAATGACACGCAATTCCCTGGGGAACATACAAAAATAGACACCAGGAAGTGGCCTGTGCCTCTCAGGAGCAAGGGGCAGGCATATAAAGGGCCCAGCAGGGGGAGGCGCCACACAGACACCTCCCTCTGCACCTGCTCCTGCGACCACTCCCCTCCACCTCCAGAACCATGGGCTGCTCTGGCTGTTCCGGGAGCTGCGGCTCCAGCTGTGGGGGCTGCGGCTCCAGCTGCTGTGTGCCCGTGTGCTGCTGCAAGCCCGTGTGCTGCTGTGTGCCCGCCTGCTCCTCCAGCTGTGGCTCCAGTGCCTGCTGCCAGTCCAGCTGCTGCAAACCCTGCTGCTCCCAGTCCAGCTGTTGCCAGTCCAGCTGTTGCAAACCCTGCTGCTCCCAGTCCAGCTGCTGCCAGTCCAGCTGCTGCAAACCCTGCTGCTCCCAGTCCAGCTGTGGCCAGTCCAGCTGCTGCAAACCCTGCTGTTCCCAGTCCAGCTGTTGCCAGTCCAGCAGCTGCAAACCCTGCTGCTCCCAGTCCAGCTGCTGTGTGCCCGTGTGCTGCTGCAAGCCCGTGTGCTGCTGTGTGCCGGCCTGCTCCTCCAGCTGTGGCTCCTGTGGGGGCTGTGGCTCCTGTGGGGGCAGCCAGGGCAGCTGTGGCTCCTGTGGGGGCAGCCAGGGCAGCTGTGGCTCCAGCTGCTGTGTGCCCGTGTGCTGCTGCAAGCCCGTGTGCTGCTGTGTGCCCGCCTGCTCCTGCTCCAGCTGTGGCTGCTCCTAGTCTGGCTGCCGCCAGCCCTGCTGCCCCCAGTGCCGTGGTCGGAGCCCCGTGGCTCCAGTGCAGGTGTGAGGAGCTGGCACTGAGCTCAGATCAGCCCTGCGACCTCACTCCCCACACAGTGACAGGAGCTGCGTCCCCACTCCTGAGCCCCTCCCCCTGGGTCTTCAGGCCCCAGCTGAGGGCAGCAGAGTCTCCCGACCGAGGGGCATCCAGGGCTCTCAGCGTGGACTCGCGGCCTCTCCTGTTCTCAGTGAGCGATGCCTCTCATCAACTCCATGGCCTCTCAAGGCCCCACCCTGAAGGCAGCCTCCCTGGGGTTCCCCCTGCACCCCGACACCAGGGAAGTCCTGGGCAGGTGCAGACGGTGCCTCCCCCACCACCCAGCTAGGGGTGCTCCTGTAGATATAAGCCTCCTTGGCCACAGGAACAGGCCAGGTGTAGTGCACCCCTGTGACCAATTCTGAGTCCTGTTGTTGTAGGCAGCCATATGGGATAGAATTGATGAGGTTTGTGAGCTGGAAGACCAGGCCTTCACCCTACTGTGTGACCCCAGGCCCTGACCTGACAACCTGTGTGCCCACCTGCCCATCAGGCTAATGAACCACTCCCCTCTGGAAGTGGATTAAAGTATAAAGGCCTGGAACATGGTGGACCCAGCTTTTTTTTTTTTCTCCTTTGCCATTGCAGGCGCTGGCTGCCCTGGGCCTCCCGGGTGCCGGGCATTCGGCCCACCCGCCCACGCTTCCTGGCCTGCGCTCCTCCACGAGGCTCCTGGTGCCCGGTGAATCCAGAATTCCCCCCTCTGAGCAGGGCCCTCCCTCTCCTGTGCATTTCTCCACGGAATAAAAGCTGAAACACCTGCCACGTGCCGTGTTCGTTTCTGCCAGCGCTCAGAATTCTTCTGTGGACATTAGGCAAGAACCCACACGGGCTCAGGATACTGGGAGTTCATTAAGAAGCCCGCGGGGATGGGGGCCCATGTCCCGGTATCTCTGTGCTCTCTCACTCCGTCTGTGGAATGCGAGCTGCACCCCGCAGTCCTTCAGGAAACTCGCTCCCCACACTGCTGCTGTCTCGTGCTGGTCTCATTGTCCTCTGAGTCCTGGAGTCCCCGAGCCTCTGTGCCTCCCCCTGCCCCCGAGGCTCCTGTCCTCGCTCACCCCAGTGCCTCCTCTGCCCGTCAGCGCCTGCACCAGCACCTGGGCTCCTGCCACACGGCCAGCTGGTGGGGGCTGGGCCGGCTGGACCCACACTCTCTGCCTCGGGGATCTCAGGCCTGAGGGATCCTGCACAACCAGGTCACAGAGCGACACAGGAGCAGGGCCAGGGCGGGGGCGGGGCTGGAGAGGCAGGGAGCGGGCAGTGGCTCCTCCTGGGAACAGAGACGCTCCCTGGGTGCTGAGCCCGGGGCTTGGGCTGAGCAGAGGGAAGGCCCAGATGCAGCCCGGAGGCCTGCGAGCTTCGAGCAGGGGAGTGTCGTGAGGGTGAGGAGCAGGACGTGATGCAGGGACGTGGGCACCGTGTGCTCGTGGTCCCGGGAGATGCTGGGAACCACACAAGGGAGAGATGTGCTAAGGGTTGAGAAAGCTGCCTGGGAGCTCCGTGTGGGTGGAGGTGAGACGGCCCTGGAGCTCCGTGTGGGTGGAGGTGACACGGCCCAGCGTCATGGATCCCTTTGCAGCCATTAGATCATCAGCCGACGGCACTGAGAAAATATAAAATCAGGTGGGGCGGGGCTTGTGGCGCAGTGGGTTAAAGCCCTGGTCTGAAGCGCCGGCATCCCAGATAGGCACCGGTTCGACCACAGGCTGCTCCTCTTCGAATCCAGCTCCCTTTGTGCTGTGGGAAAGCAGTGGAAGATGCCCAATCCTGGGGCCCCTGCACCTGTGTGCGAGAACCCGTAGGAAGCTCCTGGCTCCTGGCTTTGGCCTTGCGCACCACCGGCCATTGCGGCCATCTGGGGAGTGAACCAGACAATAGAAGATCTCTCTCTCGCTCTCTCTCTCTCGCCCTCACTCCCTCCCTCTACCTCTCTCTGTAACTCTGTCTTTGAAATCAATAAAATAAATCTTTCTAAAAAAGCAAAATTGAACAAAAGGTGGAGGATTTTCCAGGTCTCTATGGGACCAAGGGAAATAGGGGAGACACCTGGCGCACAACATTATACCCACACTGTATGCACACAGTACACACACATTATACACACACTGTATACACACATTATACACACACTATACACAGAGTACACTCACATTATACACACACTGTACACACACTACAATCACATTATACACACACTGTACACACAGTATACACACATTATACACACACTGTACATACATTATACACACAGTACACACACATTATACACACAGTATACACACACTGTATGCACACTGTACACACACTGTATAAACACAGCACACACATCATACACTGTACACACGGCAAACACACTCCATACACACACTGTACACACACTATGCACTTCCTGTGTGCATCCGTCAGTACACAGTACATCACACAGCATACATGCCACACACACATGGAGCACACACTGCACACACGACACACAGTATTGGCACATGCGCTGTACAGAGACACACAGAGCTCACACACACTCTCCACGTTACATCCTCACACACTCCACATGCTAGAGTGCGCACACCATACACATGCACACGGTGCACACGCCACACCCACTCCACACACGTACATGACCACACACCCACTCTGCACCCTTCACACACAGGCATACACACCATATACACACCCAAGTGCACACACCGTCACATGCCCCATGGTGTGCACACCACGCACACAAAACGCTTTCATGGAAACGGCATGAAGAGACCCTGTGTGCATGCGTGAGGGATTCTGGGAGCAGCGAGCAGACCACGTGGGCAGGTTCATCACGGCGCCACCGAGGCTGCAGGGTGAAGACTGCCCGTGTAGCCGTGAGCACTGGGAGGGCTGGCGGTGGCCCCGAGCACCTCCCACTCCCAGTCCTGACTCGGCCGCGGGGCCGGGCCTGGCTGAGCCCTGTGTGTGAGCTTGTTCTGGGCAAGGCGCCCGCACGCGTCAGCAGGAGGGGACGGTGTCCAGGGGACCCGCACAGGGCATCCCGGGAGTCCTGAGAAGGGGCAGAGGCACGGGCAGAGCCGCAGGAGGGCCTCGGCCAGGGCGCTGCAGAGCGGGGCCACCGCAGTGGACGGAGGCGAAGCACCAGCTCTGCCCTGCAGCTCCGAGGAGGGCGGCGCGGCTGCCCCGGCTGGAGATGCCCGGGCTGCAGGACTCAGCCGTGCACTTCCGGGACACCCGCCACCACGCCGCGGTCATGGCCAAGGCAGCCGAGGAGGGGCAGCTTCCAACTCCCCTGCGTGGGTCCCTGAGCAAAGCTCCTGCAACTCGTGGCCGTGCCCTCCACACCCCCCGGTCCTGCACCCATGCACTGTGTTCTGTTTGACTTTCAGCTACTTGAACTGCGACCCCGGGGCCGAGGGAGACCTCGAGGACAGCACAGAACGGACCCTCCAGGCCCTCAGGCCTCGGCAGCAGCTCAGGAGGGGAAGCAGGCGAGGACCTCCCGTGCAGACCCTGCCGGGCGCCCAGGAGGCTGCGCAGCCACACAGGCGGGGACTCTGGACTCTCCCTGCCCAGGCAGTGCCGCGGGGCCTCCTGCGCCCTGGGAGCTCCTCTGCCTCTGCTGCTTGCTTCTGGCGCAGGACTTTCTCGTTCCTGCTGCCTCTTTATTCATCTGAAAGGCACACAGACAGACACACAGACAGACAGACGTCTGCCGTCCGCTGACTCCCTGCCCACATCCAGGGCTGGGCCCGGCCTAACCAGGAAGCAGCAATGAATCCAGCCTCCGTGTGGGGGCAGGAGCCCAGGGCTGCGCCGTCACCCACGCAGAGTGGCCGGAGCGGATTGGAAGCTGAGCTGGCACTCGGACGGCTCTGACACGGGGTGCAGGGTCCACAGTGAGGATTTTTTTGTCTCAAGATTTATTTTATTTCATTGAAAGACAGAGTTACTGAGAGAGGTGGAAACAGAGAGAGAGGTCTTCCATCTGCTGGTTCACTCCCAGGTGGCCGCAACAGCCAGAGCTGCACCGATCAGAAGCCAGGAGCCAGGAGCTTCTTCCGGGTATTGCACGTGGGTGCAGGGACCCAAGGATTGTGTCATCCTCCACTGCTTTCCCACGCCATAGCAGAGAGCTAAATCAGAAAAGGAGCAGCCGGGACAAGAACAGGCGCCAATATGGGAAGCCGGCACTTCAGGCCAGGGCTTTTATCCCCTGCACCACAGCACCGGCCCCCCAGTGCAGTCTTAACAGCTGTGCCACAGCTGACCCTTTGACTCACTGAATTTCCAACCCCCTCCTTGCTGGCCTCAATTTCTATACTCTCCACAGGGCCAGATCCTTGTAGCAGGTGCAGTGCTGGTCCTGCTAGCGGGTCTGGGGAGCAGCTGGCTATGTGGCGGGTGCCCAGGTGCTGGTTAGAGGAGGGAAAGGAAGAGAGGGCAGTGGGGGGTGAGCAAGGACAGGAGCCTCGGGGGCAGGGGGAGGCACAGAGGCTCGGGGACTCCAGGACTCAGAGGACAATGAGACCAGCGCGTGACAGCAGCAGTGTGGGGAGCGAGTTTATTGAAGGACCCTGGGGACAGCTCGTGTTCAACAGACAGCATCAGAGAGCACAGGTCCCACTGGGCCAAGAGGGTTCCCTAGACCTGGCCTGTTGAGTGGTCAAGGAGACTTCTGTCTCAAGAGTGTCCCATCCTGGGGGTGTGGCAGGCACCATCTGTCCCCAGCCCCTGGATCTGCTTGGGTGTCGGGGTGCAGGGGGAACCACAGGGAGGCTGCCTTCAGGGTGGGGCCCTGAGAGGCCATGGAGTTGATGAGAGGCATCGCTCACTGAGAACAGGAGAGGCCGCGAGTCCACGCTGAGAGCCCTGGATGCCCCTCGGTCGGGAGACTCTGCTGCCCTCAGCTGGGGCCTGAAGACCCGGGGGTCAAGGGGGGGTACGCAGCTCCTGTCAGTGTGGGAAGTGAGGTCCCAGGGCTGATCTGAGCTCAGTGCCAGCTCCTCACACCTGCACTGGAGCCACGGGGCTCCGACCACGGCACTGGGGGCAGCAGGGCTGGCGGCAGCCGGACTAGGAGCAGCCACAGCTGGAGCAGGAGCAGGCGGGCACACAGCAGCACACGGGCTTGCAGCAGCACACGGGCACACAGCAGCTGGAGCCACAGCTGCCCTGGCTGCCCCCACAGGAGCCACAGCTGCCCTGGCTGCCCCCACAGGAGCCACAGCCCCCACAGGAGCCACAGCTGGAGGAGCAGGCGGGCACACAGCAGCACACGGGCTTGCAGCAGCACACGGGCACACAGCAGCTTGAACCACAGCTGCCTTGGCTGCCCCCACAGGAGCCACAGCTGCCCTGGCTGCCCCCACAGGAGCCACAGCCCCCACAGGAGCCACAGCTGGAGGAGCAGGCGGGCACACAGCAGCACACGGGCACACAGCAGCTGGACTGGGAGCAGCAGGGTTTGCTGCAGCTGGACTGGCAGCGGCTGGACTGGGAGCAGCAGGGTTTGCTGCAGCTGGACTGGCAGCAGGCACTGGAGCCACAGCTGGAGGAGCAGGCGGGCACACAGCAGCCAAAGAATGGCAGAGACCTCTGCCACAATTTCTCCTCTAAGTCGGGCTATGCAGTAAGCACTGGTTAAACTGCCAGTTAAATTAAAAGCCCAAAAAGTCAGGCTAGAGACGCAACTCGCTGCCTCACTTCTCCTCTTTTCTCTTCCAGAAGGGAAGTTACTACTGTTCCGCAGGACTCTCCACTGTGATGTACGGTTGACC